AAGTAGATAAATAGGTACCGCTCTGGTGGGAAGGTAAACGGCGTTTCCGTGCGCTGCTCTGGTTTGCCAGAAGCAGCTTTCTCATGCTGGCCACATGACCCAGAAGCTGTACGCCGGCTCCCTCGGCCAATAAAGTGAGATGAGCGCCGCAACCCCAGAGTTGGTCATGACTGGACCTAATGGTCAGGGGTCCCTTTACCTTTTATAGGACTGAGCAGTATGACAAAACTTTCGTTGGTGCAAAGAGGAATGAAAAAGGGATTCTGTACAACCTTCCAAATACCATCATGAGCACACATCACCATGAATGTACTGAGTCAAATATTCTGTTTCTCACAGTGGGCAACCGGATGCCTCTTCTTGGAAGCCCACATGCAGGACCTAAGTGAAACAGTTCTTCACCACTGTTCTTTGTCAGCAACTGGTATTTGGAAACAGGCTCTCTCTGCCCCATTTGCAGCTCTGTCCTCCATGAATTTGGATAATTCCCCTTTAAAGCCATCTAAGTTGATGGCCACCATCACATTTTGTGGAAGTGAATCCCATAGTTAAATCTATGTGCTGTGTGAATACATACTTTCTTTTGTCTGTTGTGACTCTTCCATCATTCAGCATCATCGGATGACTCAGAGTTTAAATTTTAATTGCAGGGCCAGGGGAGACTTCTGTCGATTTAACTGCCACATGCTGGCTCACTGTTTCATTGTGCTATCCACCTGCAATATCCCAAAGTACTCTTCCTGATCAGCCACTACCAGCTCAGATCTCATCAGTCTACATGAAAATGTAATTATTATTTTTTTTTTACCTGGTCCAATATACATCACTTTACTGCTAACTTACAGTTAAACTGCATCTTCCATTTTATTGCTGATGGAGACATCGTTTTTAAATTCTTTGCAGTCTTTCTGTTTTTGAATAATTCGGTGTTTTCAGCAAATTTGACCACCATACTTCACCGATCACAACTCTGTCATCAGTCCCACTATAGATCCTTAGGGAGATTTTCCCCCACCCCCTTTTATACGTGTCCACTGTGCGAATGTCCCCATGATACATAAGGGACTACTATTGCACCAGGACTACTAAGTTTAATTTTGGCAAGAGACTTTGTCCTCACAAATTAATGGGAATGATTTGTTTTTAAAGAAATATGTGTAAAGGGGCTTTAAGATTTTGCAGGGGTGGCGGTGGTGAGATGAAATAGAGAATTCTGAGGTGGTTTCAGCAACAATATGTTTAAGTACACTGAGAAAAAAAAGGTGAGAGGGAATCCTTATCTGCTAAGTGACTATCTAGAAGGTGCTAATATGTCTTCAGGAAGAGAGCAGATTTAGGTTCCCTGTTACTGAGTATATTTTGAGGCTCTCTCTTCAAGCTTATGCAACAAATTCAAAGTCTTCTATTCAGGATGCTGCATTCCATGATTTTGGCCTTACCAAGCAGGGCTTTTCTTACGTTTTTATCCTCAAGTACTTTTAAACACATGTGTTCTGTCCTCATACTTTCCCAGCCTTTACAAAATTCCTCACCCCAAGGTCATTTCCACCTACCTCTGTACACAAATCCTTCCGCTTTGTATACCGTATTTTTCGCTCTATAAGATGCACCAGACCACAAGACGCACCTAGTTTTTGGAGGAGGAAAACAAGAAAAAAATATTCTGAATCTCAGAAGCCAGAACAGCAAGAGGGATCACTGCGCAGTGAAAGCAGCAATCCCTCTTGCTGTTCTGGCTTCTGGGATAGCTGCACAGCCTGCATTCGCTCCATAAGACGCACACACATTTCCCCTTACTTTTTAGGAGGGAAAAAGTGAGTCTTAAAGAGCAAAAAATATGGTATTTCTATTTCTCCTCACAAGTTCTTCATATCCCAAGAGTTTGTTAGTTCTGTAAAATTAATTATCCATTAACTATGGTTGGCTGTATATTCCCCTCCTTGCCAAAACCCACACATTCCAAGGACTTATTGGATGTATATCATATAATCTGAGTAGTAATTTACCATCCCAAAGTGGTGAATTTTTATTTGATTTTACTTGTACATCTTCTTCTCACATTCTGCACATTCTAGGAATAGGTTGTTGTTTTTGAAACAATTCCCCCCACCCCGTATCCCTTACAAAACAGAGGGCAGCATTTTAAATAGGCTATTTATATACACTTCCCTCCAATTTCTCAAAATACAAAAAGCTGAGGGGATCCATATATATTTTCAAAAGCAACACTAGTATAATACTGCTTCTAATAATAATGATAATGCTTTCTGGTTTTTATCTAATGGATAGACATGCATATCTGCAATTTTTGCTTTCTTTGAAGAATTTCTATTTGAGCTTTGTGTCTACTTCTTCCCAGAGATTTTGCATCTATGTTTTTTTCCCCAACTTTGAATAGCAGACCAGTAAACAAAAGTGGAGGAGAAATTAAAGAACCTCTAATGAGGGTGAAAGAGACTCTTGAGAGTCCCATAGACTGCAAGAAGATCAAACCTGTCCATTCTGAAGGAAATCAGCCCTGAATGCTCACTGGTAGGACAGAAGCTGGGGCTCCAATACTTTGGCCACCTCATGAGAAGAGAAGACTCCCTGGAAAAGACCCTGATGTTGGGAAAGATGGAGGGCACAAGGAGAAGGGGACGACAGAGGACGAGATGGTTGGACAGTGTTCTCGAAGCTACCAGCATGAGTTTGACCAAACTGCGGGAGGCAGTGGAAGACAGGAGGGCCTGGCGTGCTCTGGTCCATGGGGTCACGAAGAGTCGGACACAACTAAACGGATAAACAACAACAACAACAAACATGGGGACATTGTGTACACATGTTTAGGGTGCATTAATCTTTCATTGTGAAAGGAGGCTGCCAAAAAGTGAAACTGGCAGTGTGTAAAGATTTGTATAATGTGGTGTGTATAAAGAGTACATTTATTTTTAACTTTGTGAGGGGAAACAAGGCAATAAATTGGAACATCTTTTAAGAAGAGAGAGAGAGAGAGAGAGAGAGAGAGATGAATGTGAAGTTCTTTGAATATTTGAAAGTGCTATATAAATGCTAAGCATTATTTTTAGTGTTTATTTATTTATTTATTTTAGTGAGGGGAAACCCAGCCAGCCAGTAAATGAATGCAAAACATCTCTAAGTGGTGAAAGCATAATGAAAAGTCTAAATACTGTACTATTATTAATAATATAATTATTATTGTTTTAGTGTATGTTTTCCTCCGTGTGAAGCATGGCTAAGGGCAAGTGAGCTAGTCAAAATCTTTAAAAGAAGTTTGTGTAATGAATTTAAAAGCACATTTTTTGGGGTAAGGGGAAGCAAGCTATTAAGACTGCAGCTCTTTACCTGTTTACCTAGGAGTAAACCCAACTCAATTCAGTAAGACTTTGAGAGCCAGTGTGGTGTAGTGGTTAAGAGCGGTGGACTCGTGATCTGGTGAACCAGGTTCGCTTCTCCACATGCAGCTGCTGGGTGACCTTGGGCCAGTCACACTTCTTTGAAGTCTCTCAGCCCCACTCACCTCACAGAGTGTTTGTTGTGGGGGAGGAAGGGAAAGGAGATTGTTTGCCACTTGGAGACTCGTTTGGGTAGTGATAAAGCAGGATATCAAATCCAAAACTCTTCTGAGTAGACAAGTATAGGATTATGCTATGATTAAAGTTGGAAGTGTGTTTCTAGGCACATTTATTTTTTCTCATGTGAAGAAGTGAGCCAGCATCTATATCTAGAACCTATTACAAGTGTGTGTTTGATGACCAAAAATTGCTGACCACATGAAAGTGCCATATAAATGCTAAGTACTAATTTTCTAATTATTGTTTAGTTTACCCTGGAGAGAAGAGCCAGTAAATTAAAGGATTTTTTTAAAGGACTGATTTTAAGGACCCAGAAGAGCCAATTTTATTTTTCTCTCCTAAGTAGTGAAGTGAGCTTCAAAACTCATAAAGTTAGAAATCTTGAAGAAAGAAATACGTGTTTCTAAGTGATGCAAATCTGTTTGGCCCCTTGAAAGTAGGCATACTTTCTAAGTAACAATGTTATTAATACTATTTCAATTAAGCCTGAGTTTTGCTTGTTTCTCTCTCTGGAGAAGTGAGTTAAGATCGATTAAGTTGGGGATATTTAAAGGGCTGTGTGTATGTGATGAATGCCCCCTCAATATCATTAACAATAACTAACAGAGGTGTGGTATTTTTGACCCCCAAGCTCTCCATGTTACCCTAGTTATTGTTAATAATAATAGTTATTATTATTTCTTTTTGTGAGCAAAGATGTGTTTTATGTTCCTTTTTTTTTTTTGAGCTGTGCATTACACCTAAAAAGCACATTTACAGGTATATTTATGCAAAGGGAACAGAATCTAAAAAGTCAATAAAAGTTGGAAATCTTTCAAGCTCAGAGTTCTTCGAATTTCTTTTAACTCTTCAAATGCTGTACACACACAGAGCCTAATTACTAATATTACTAATTACGACGAAACATGTTTTTTCTCTCTCTCTTGTGTGTGTGTGTGTGTGTATCACCTAATTACTAATATTATTACTATTATGATTTTAAAACACATTTGCCTTCTTGTGAGGGGGAGGCAGGATATATTACTAATATTCATTATGGTTAAACGTCTTTTTCTCTCTCTTATGTGTATACGTACATCCTAATTACTAATACAGTATTAGAGTATATCTAATTATGATTATTTTTAAACAGGTTTTCTTTCTCATGTATGTGTGTGCGGGGGAGGCATGATATACAGCCTAATTACCTAATATTAATGCCAATTATGATTAAATACATTTTATTTACCTTGTGAATATGTGCGCGCGCACACAGAGTCTAATTACTAATATTATTACTAATTACTATGATTTTAAAACACGTTTCTTCCCTCTCTCTCGTGTGTGTGTGTGTGGAGCCATGAGGCGGCCAGTCACCCAGACTGCGCTTTAAAGTTGGGACCTGTCGAACGGAGCGTGTTTTCGGGCGGCTCAAAAGTAACTCGCTTTGATTTTGGAAGCAGGTCGCTTGCGAAGCGGCGGCAGCGGCCAGAACCAGAGCCAGCGCGCAAGGCGGAGCCAAAGCAGCGGCGGCGGCGGCTGCCGAGCTGGGGGGCGGCTGAGTCGGGGGCGGAGCAAGGGCGGGGAGGAGGCAGGCGAGGCAGGCTGTGCCCGGCAGGCGAGTCGCTCGCGTCGGCTGCTGCTGCTGCTGCTGCTGCTGCTGCTGCGACGTCCTCCTGCTCTCTCTCGCTCCTTCTCTCTCGCTCCCTTGCTCCCTCTCGCTCCCCGGGTCCGAGCCACCTCCTCGCGCGCCCCGCGCCCCTCTCCGCTCGGGCATGGCAGCCCCTCGCCCCTTGCTGCTCCGCCGCCGCCGCCTCCTCCTGTTCCTGCCCGCCGCTTGCTCTTCCCCATCGGCGGCCGCCGCTGCGCCCGCCGCCTCGGCTTCCTTCTCTTCGTCGCCTCCGCCGCTACTGCCGCTGCTGCTCCTGCTGACCAGCGGGCCGGGCCCTTCGGCGGGGGCGGCCGGGAGAGTAGAACCGGGCGGAGGAGCTGGCGGAGCCGGCGGGAGGAGCGGCGGAGCTGGCGGCGGCAGCCCGTGTCGGGAGAAGACGGTGACGGTGTCTACTCTGCCGGTGCTGAGGGAGAGCGACGTCGCCTGGAGCAGCGGCGGCGGCGGGAGCAGGAGCCCCCCGGTCGGTTCATCCTCGGCAGCGGCGGCCCCGGCTGCCGATTCTTCCTCTTCGTCGTCGTCTTCCTCGGCTGCTGCTGCTGCTGCCGCCGCCTCACCGGGCTCGTCGCCTCCCGCGGACTCGCGGCTGCTGCTCTTCGTACGGACCGAGCTGCCCGGGCGCGTTGCTGTGCAGGACGACCTGGACAACACCGAGCTGCCCTTCTTCACGCTGGGTAAGGTGGCGGGGGAAAGCGACCCACAACTTGGATGGGTGGGAGGGGAAAGGGGGAGCGGGGTGGGGTGTTTGCCTAGAGGTGCCTCCGTACTGCCCTCTTCGCCTTCTTTGTGGGAATTTATATCTGCCTGTCGGGAGCTCCTGCAAAAGTTGTTAGGCGACCCCCTGGGGTGCGGGAGGGGGGGGGGAGAAGCATCTCTTTCTCCCCCCCCCCCTTCCCCGCAATTTATGGAGGTAGCGCATGCGACCCCTGGGATGGGGCAAAAAAGAGCTCCTCTGCTTTTTGTGGGATTTCTTTCTTTCTTTCTTTTCTATCTATCTATCTATCTATCTGGTGCTGCAAAAGTAGTTAGGCGACCCCCTGGGATGGGGAGAGAAGGATGCTTTCTACCCCAAATTTGTGGGCATGAAGAGACTACCGAGGTCACACATAGGACCCCCTGGATAGGGAAAGAAAGACTTCCTCCTCCCACATCCCTTTATTGTGGGGATTTATATCTATCTATATCCTCAGGGTAGGGATATAAATAAGCTTTCCTTTCTCCCCACCCCTCCAATTTTTTGTGGGCATGAAGAGAGTATGGAGGTAGTACAAGCACATACAACCCCCAGGATGATGCAAGAAATACATCCCTCCTAGGGGTGGGGGCATAAATGGAACTGCAAAGATTGCCCCCCACCTTCCTCCTCCCATTGGGTTGAGGGTAGAAAGGGATACATTCCCCCTGACCCCTTGGTGAGCATGGAGGGTGTGTAAAGGTAGATGGGTTTGCCCTCATGACCACACACAATATGGGGATAGAAAGAAGTGTCCCCTCCTTATGGATGTAGCAGGAGTATAACACCCCCAAAAGGGGGGGTGTAGAAAGATGCCCACAAAGGGGTTGCTCCCTCCTTTGGGGGCATGCTGGGAATAGAACATGGATGCATGCTGCCTCCACTTTTTTGAGCCTGGAGAGCTGAAAAGGTGCTCCTCTTGGCATGAGGAAGCAGCAAAGAAAGGCGGGCATACCACCCTCCCACCCAGAAGGGGTGGAATGGGGTGCTGACACCCCCCCTCCCAATGAGGGAATGCAGAGTAGAAGGGTGGAAAGAGATCTGCCTGCTTTCCCTGAAACGTCTCTTGGGGAGGAGGGTGTAGTGTGCTACCATTACTTACTCCAGGTGCTGTACAACTGAAAAAACAAGAACAAGTCCTTTGCAAGTTACTTGCAACTGAATGTTCAGAGAGGGAGTAGGTGATGTCTGGAGCGAGGTGAGCAAAAATGTATAGCAAACGTGAGGTTTACTCCACAGAACTGCAGGTGCTCCTTGAAAGGATGGACTGGAATGGGGATGTGAGATGTAGTGGATGACGGTGCCTAGTGTTGCGCTAGGTGCTGTGCATCTTAAATATACGAACAAGCACTTGCTAACAGCTTATTGGAATGGCTTCAGCTACACAAATAATATTCCTGTAACAGCTTATTGGCTAACACACTGGGGAGCAGGCACCCAATTGTCCAGTGATGGTTGGGGTGTGCAAGGCTTACCATACTTGAGTTGTGACTTTTCTACCCCCAACTTTCCCAGTGGGAACATACATTTGAAGATAGGTAGGCTTATCTCATCTCCATGTGAATAGGCATTGGAACAGTGAGCTGGAATGAAGGGGCAACATTAATATTGTGCCAGGAATTGTAATTAAAAGCAGCCAATTCCCTGCCTAGTTGCATACAAAAATTTGCCCGCAAGGACTAGGAGAGAGACCCTACTTTGGGGGTGGGGTTGCAAGTTTACTATGATGGGTTGCAAAAGAGATGCCCCATGGGCACACTTACTGGGGATGGGAGAAGATCATGAGTAGTGAATGCCCAGCACATAGGTTAAATGGATTTGTGCGTGGGGATAACACAAGGGAAGGCATGGGGTATTGGATGGCATATTTTGCAGGAAGCATTATATGTGCATTTAGGCAGGCGAGAACAAGATTCAGCAGAGTAGGCGGGAGGGCAGTGGCATATATTAGAAAAACTATTCAGGAGGTACAGTAGGTGGCCAGATGAAGGAATTGTGTACACTGGTGAGTAGAATAGGAGAAGGGCATGTCTTGAAATGGTGCGTTGGAGGGATGCTCATGTGCTGATGGCTGGAAGGATGCCGTGCTGTGTTTCTGGTTTCACAGACAAGAAGCTTTTTGGAGAAGAAGGGCACTGGATGAAGAATATGTTTCAGATGGCAATGGACGGTTCAGTAGAAGGAGACACTGGGCCAGGGTGACCCTTCTGCAGATTGAAGGGAGCACACCATAGCACAGTAGCGAGGGGTGGGTAGGTAGGTGGTGGGACACAGAGTGAGAGATAGTATAGAAATGAAATACTAAATAATAATAATATTGATAATAATACTCACTGATAGGTGAAGAGGATGCTTTGGAATACTGCATCAGGGTTTAATCAGTCCTAAAGTGATGGAGAACCAGTTGTAGATGTTCCTTAGATAAAGTGAGGCATTGATAGGAATGGGTAGGTTTGGGAAGAAGTGATGATAACAGCTGTGGAACAGCCTGCTGCAGCAATTTCTTTGGCAGGAAAGAAGGAGACGATGTACTAGGATCCAATGTGCAAAGCACCAGTCATGAGAATGTCCTGGGAATGGACGTGAATGCATAATATGATGGCCTTGTGGGGTAGCATACCAGGCATGGAGGTTAATCAGGTAGGGAAAGAGCCAGTTGCAGGCTACAGCAGGAGAAAGGGGGCTGAGATCCAAGGCCTACGATAGTGTAGGAGGAGCTGTGTGTGTAGATTGGGAGGGGTGGGAAGAGAGGATGAGTTACCTTGAACATTTTTGGGACTATGGGAATTTTTTCTAGGTTGCAAGGGCTAGTCCAGGTTAGGAAACATAGAAAACCCTAATTAAAATGTTGTGCAGCTTGTCTGCATTAGATTGTATTAATAGTCATTTTAAACTTTTTCTTTACTTAGGGCAAACTAGCCACATTAAAAGCTGTGTAATGTGATTATTATTTTTCTTTTATGTTTGCTAGGATGTTATAAATAAGTAATAATAAGTTTTGTTTAAAAAAGAGAATATTTTGCCACTTGAACAACCCCTCATGTGCATTTGGAAAATCTTGTGGTGGATCTAAATAAATAGTACTCAGAATAAGGGAGGTGAATGCAAGTTAGCTGTGCTCTGGGGAGTGACAGATGGTGGGATGGAATTTGGATTGGTGGTGGTAAGGGATTGTCTTTGCAACGAATTCTTGGTGGCGCCACCATGGGTCAAAGCAGAATGACTGAGAACTGTGGAGCAGGTAGGCATTGAGGGTCAGGCGAAGGATAGCTGTTCTCCAGTGAGTGAGAATGCTATGAAAGGTGATTCTAAGATGTGTGGCCTGGAGGCTTGCTTCACTTGAGGTTGGTGTATAGGGGAACAGTAATGAGACTTGTTTGGTTGGTATTCTGTGGTATATGAATAGGATTCTAAGCACGTGTTTGACCTACAGTTGCTCTAGGCAACAGTGGAGAGGCTGGGATAACTACTGGCAAAACTGCTGGACAACTTGTTCTTCAAGTTGCTATCCCTGGCTCCTGGTTTCTTCTGCTCCTAGTTATGACAACTAAGAGTGCTAACACTATTGATTGACGGTTAATGATTTGGCTTATGCCTTATTTCTGTTCCTTGGGGGTGGGGGGTGAAAGAGAGAGAGAGAATGCCTTGGGCAGAAACATGTTTGTCAATAACATTTCCATACAGTTTCTAGAGCTTTGTGGTGGGTTCATCTGGAGATGCTAAGCAGTTTATGGGTTTTCTTGCCATCTCCTATTACTCCCTTGCAGTGTGTGGTGGACTGAGTAAATTGTCATTTCCATCCCTCAAGGATTGTTACCTTTGTCCCTGTGGATGTTTAAATTTAGGCCACATCTTCAAATGGAAAGTATCTTTCCTCTTCCCTGCCCCCTTTCCAAGCTGCCAAACACTTTGAATTTTGTAAAAAGACATTCTTTATGCTGAGGCAGGAGTCTCTTTAGTGCTGCTGTCACTTTGCTGTGGCTTGATTTCCTTCTCTTGCAATTGATAGCTTAATTATCTTTTAGCGCTTTGTAATTTCCCCCCTTCCCTTCTTCTGCTTCCTGGTGCGTTCCATGTCCCCCTCCTTTCTGTTCTCTTCATCTGGTTTTGGAACAAGATCTGCAAACCTGCCCAGTATCTCTTGCTTTGGAGGAAACTCTGCTCATCTCCAGTGTGGCAGGTGGCATCCTTAAAAGACTCTGTTTTGAAGCTGAATGGTGGAGTATGAGAGTTGCGCAAAGCTAAGGCTTTGTTCTAATAAGCATCTTGTATATAAATATTTTGTTCTGATTATTCTCATTCTAGTTGTCATGGTCTGTCACTTGAGTGTCTCTGTGTGTTTGCTCCAAGCTTCTAAGGTTCTCTCTAGTCTAGTGGGAAGAAGAGAAAGGAACAAACGTCTGTCATCCTGTGTGTACCTTGTTGCTCTTTTGCTCTAACATGGTGTGTTCTTGCCAGGCCTTGTCAAGGTTGTCGTGTGTATCATAGCTAACTTGTTATCCTCACTAAAAGTAAACTGTTTAGAATTCTGCATCCAGAAGCAGGCTTTCTGCTCTGGCAGAACAGCAAAGGCAGTCTGTTGATCTCCACACAGCTCCTCTTTTATCTACCAGCTTCTTCCCCTCACTGACGCTTCAAAACCTTGCTGTAATTTGTGGATCTGCTTGGCTTTGTGCTGCCACTGATTGGTGCTTAACTAGCTGTGGTTGTGAGTCCCCCTCACATATCTTGCATAAACTTAAATGTGTCAGGCTGTTGTGTAGGTACACATATATGCCTGAAGTGCAGCTGTCCTAGGCAGTCTTTAGAACACTGGCTTAGTTTTGTTTGAAGCATTTTTTTTCTTTGATCAGGGAAAGTATAATGCTGATGAAAAATACAGATTTCTCCACACTGGGGTCCTTTTAACCCTTCCCCAGTGATTTTAAATGCTGTTT